TCTCTAAAGTGGAAACCTGTTAAGCTCAGCTCAGGTAGTGACAAGACGTACAAGTTTATCTGTAACTGCCATGAAGCCATATAAACAGACGATGATGACCAGGATGTTTCCTGCGAACGCGTAGACCAGTGTGGTGGTCCAGAAAGCAAACATGTACACAGTTCTGTTACAGTAAGGTACCGCAGCCACAGCAAGTTGTGCCTCTGCAGCTTTCAGGTGCTCTCTGTTTGCCTTACTGCTGATGTTGCCAAGGGCCAAAGTTTGAACCAGTTTCATTAAAGTCTGGTTGTCGTTGGTCATCCAGGTCTGGTTGAGGTTAAGAAGGGTCTGGTTCTGGTTCTCCAAGGTGATGTTGGGCTTGGTGTCAGGTGCAGTGCGAGTGGAGATTGTTGTTGTCGATAGACTGTTGTTGAAGCCGTTTGGGTTGATGGTGGTCTTGGTGTAGTTGGGTGGATAAACAGAATAAATCAGGTAACTGCCTGAGGATGGAAAGAGACAAAATGAATGAATGCATTACAGTCACCATCTGTAAGTTCAGTAGATATGTTACACAGAACCATTTGGGAAGTTGTTGTTGGAAACTATTTGGAAAAGGGCAGGCACTTCCAAAAAATACTTGACAGGTGATTGGATGAATCCTCTGTCTGTCACCATCTATCACGAGCGAACTTCAACCAATCTGATCAATAAAGTCATTTTAGGTATTTTTTATCATGCTGATGTATGTTCAAGTGTTCATTTTTCTGATATGTTTGGTTTTAATTAGTTATTTGAAGCTATGAAAAGGGGGTTTACGTCAGGACTGACAGTTGAGCCCTGCTTGTGATTGAGTCGACCGGGCTTATGGCCGGGACCGCAATAATGCAGTGCCACACCGCTGATTGGTCTGAACCATAGTGGTTGGACACAATCACATAGCTTGAAGCCTAGCAAGAGAGATTTGAGCCCAGCTGCCTTGCACAGTTATTATTATGGGGCACTACAAAAGTCTAAATCATTCTAGTTTATCATACTTACATTGACAAGAATAAAATGATATGAAATGCACAGGAACATAATGAACATGCAGCATCGTATTCATAATATTCGAGGTGGAGGATGCAGACTAATAGCTAATGTCTGTGTTTTAATACAAAGCTATTATTAGCCCATGATAATAATGAGATTCTAAGTGTGACTTACCATAGAAGAACCAGATGAAGACAAACAGGACCAGGCTGATGAGCCACAGAGTCCAGATTGTGTGGCCCGGTGCTGCTGGACAGAGGAGCTTTGGTAAAGCAAACATGCCCATAATCAGCAGGGCCAGTATCCCACACACCATCACATACACTGGGATAACTGGTGCTGCTGGACACTCGTACATGTGCACTACTCCTGTTTACACAGAGAAAAAGCATTTGGAAAACTCAGACAGATACCAGTGGAATGTAGGCATTTGTTTATTAGGCAACATGACTGTAGAAGTTTGTGTGTGCAATGTTTCACAAAATTTATATTAAAACTGAAAAATTAAGTTTTTATTTGTATGTTTGATAACACATAATTACAAGGTACATAGGCTATATTGTGTGTATATTCTTGCAAATGCCATTAGGAGCACTAGTCTGTTATTTTACACAAGGCTTCTTAAGCAATACAAAACATGTCATTACATCTGTTAAGCAAAGCCAATATTTCCCAACATGTGTTTGATTTATGTGCCATAGTATGGCTGTAGACTCTTGATTCAAATTCACTGTCATAGCACAACTGTTTGAGTGACTACAATGTGTATTGCAGATTTACATCACAAAATGTAAAAACAAATAAGTTCACAGAGTTTTTTCTAGAATTCTTCTTTAAAACCTCAATATTTCCTAACCTTTTAGCCAGGGTTCAAGGTGCCTATAAGGTTCAAGATTTTCAAAGTTATAAAATGATGTCATTGATGAACAGAAAAGACATGTCAGTGGATCACTTACCTATAGTGATCTGGGCAATTGGGAACATTGTTACAAGGAGAATGGTGCATCCTAAAGGAGGATATTGAGAAGATTGAAATTCAATCTTAATAAATCTAGTTGTTCTTTTTCTTTGCTGTTTGCAGTTACTTACCTGCAATAAAAAGATTTGCGCCAAACAAACTACATACACAGTTCCCCAAAAAGTTCCCTGCCATTCTGACTGTTAGAATGTTAACAGGTGACAGTGATGTGCTGTAAAAGAGAAAGGGATACGTCATGGAGAGCACTGGCTGACTGACTCGTTTGTGAGGTAAAATGAAGAGTTACATTTTAGTAAGGAAAGACAAGAGACTTACCGTCTGTCTTCTACTGGGTCTGTTAGAACAAATGAGTGTCAGGTGGGGTTGTTGGCCAAGTCAACATGTCTCAACTCTTCAGTATGTCACTATAAGAGACACCTCAGCACATGTAAGCAAGGATTTTCCTCTGTTGAGTCAATATCGCAATATTACCACAGTACTAACACTTTCCTACTGCAGCTGCCACAACTGATGCTAACAGTAATCCCATTACCAGTGGTAGAATGGGATGGGAGGAGGGAGCCCCAAAAACATTTTAAATAATAGCCTCTCTTCTTTTTGACCTGTTTTGGGTCTCCATCAACTCCTGGGGGAGTGTTTTAGTTTCCTTTAGAGATATCTACGGATGCCCTGAGAGGCAAATGAGAGAAAAAAAGAAAAGTCTGTTCTAAATTGTATTTTCTTATGTGTATAGGAGTTAAGAGGTGAAAAAAAACAGGTTAAAAATGGATTTGTTTTTTGTTTTTGTTTTTTATGGTGTGATGTTGTTGTAAGACTCATTTCGGCCACAAGAGGCTTAAGTGCACCATTACCCTTTGTTCTAAATAGGGCTAAAAGCATTCATGTTTAGTTCCAGGTGAGTGCACTCTAAACACAAGGTACATAGGCCATACTGTGTGTTAGCAAGTTATGTAACATTACTGTCAAAATGTATTTTGTTCGGTACTAAGAGAAATTAAAACTCACACAGAAGAAAACATGAATGCTTTTAGTCCTATTTAGAACATGGGGTAGTGTTGCGTTTCAGCCTCTTGTGGATGAAATTAGTATTACAACAATGAACACTTACAAAAACTATTGTTCAAAATATTTTTCAGCTGCAAAAACTTTTTATTATTTTATTAACTTAGAAGGTTTTTAAGAAATAAACACAGGAGAAAAAACAATTTAGATCAAAAGGATCACCAGATTGTTTTCTAACTTGCATCTCATGGCTTCCAAAGATACATGATGCTCTCTGATAGACAATGTTGTATTTCAAGCCCTGTGCTTATTTTTGAAAGGTCTTCAGTTTTTGTGTCTTTTAAGGACAATATTATCTATAAAATGGACTATGGATTAAATATTTAAGATTTTTTTGAACTCCAGAAACTAGTGAACTGTGCCATTTTTCAGCCCTGAGTAGTGTCTGCAGGTCTTCCTTTCAGGCTGCATACAGTTCCAGCAGCCTTCTCCAGTAAGGTAGGTCAGCCTATATGTAGCCTGAGAGGTGACATCCAGGATAAAAAAAAGTCAACAAGCCACTCATGGCACCACTCACTGCTGCTTCTTCAGTTGATAACTCTGAATGCATGGTATAGTAATAACTGAAGGAGACTCTGATCACCTCAGAGCTGCCCTTGTCTGCATTATGGCAGTTGGACAGTGAGAGAACAATGTTCAGAGTAAGAAAATCAACCTGAAATAATAAAAGAAGAATCTGATTGTGAAAAGTGCCCCACGGAACATATCTAGTCCCAGTGTTGCTTGCAACAGTGCCTGCACACTGCCTGTCATGAGTCATCACATGACTGACGATTGTGACAGTGCGTCTTTTTCTCATTACACATTTAAGTGAGTCAGCATTGTTGCTGGAGTCAGCAGATGGTCTGATCAGTGGATCTGCAACACAGGCAATTACCCAGTGGAAAGAAAGGAAGGGGGGTGCTGTGCTACATGCACTGTCTCATACAATGTGGTAGTGTGTGTGTGTCAGTGTGTCAGTGTGTACATGTGTGTATAAAAGCACATATGATAGGGATTTATCAGAACATATATACATAATATCATTTGGATATGAACAGACCGTTTTGAAACACATTTGCTCAATAATATAACATTTCATTTCAAAGGTTATGGTTATGGTACATGCTACAAGATTGTTGAAATACCATGAGAAGGCTTCTTGTATATGAATTAATCACATCATAATTGTACTTCATTTGAATTATGTGTTGTATAATTTATAAATAATTGTATAATGTATTATTGTTAACTATCATTATTCTCCTACACCTTACAGAAATTCTAGTTGCAACATTAAACGATATATTTCACATAAATACATCATAAATACATTATACATTAGCCTGATGGTTTCTCCATTGAGTGTGTGGCCAGCCTGGCCCCCACCATTCAAAGTTCTGGGGCCATGTGTAAAAAATATAACTGTAGTGCCTTTTCATTTTTCAATTGATATTATGCTTACAAAAAATATCTTCCTGTAATCAGCTGGAACTCATTTTGCCTTTGTACTGACTGTTTTAACATGAATTCCTCTGCTATCTATTTATTGTTTATTTCACTTGTCTCCACTGTTCTTATATTAAAAAAATTTTTTATAAGTGATGATAAAAAAAAACATTGCAGCTCTCTCTCGTTTCCAACATTATTGCACAACATCCCCTGTTTCTCTCCCCTGACTCCACTTCCTGACCTCTATCCTACAGGATCTTCAAAACTATAAAGTCATCTACATTTTATGCCGCATGTGCAAATTCCAGTTCTCTTATGTGTCACTTTAATTTCAGTGGGAGCAGTCCGTGTTAAAGCTCGGTGTGATCCGCTCTCCACTTCCTCTGCAGCAGCAGCAGCGCTCATGTGACAGCGGCTCCGCTCTCATTAGCTTCCACAGCGGCTGGCTCGGTCGGACCTGCCGGTAAGAACACTTCTGTCTGCGGGTTGTTTTCTTCCTGAGCTGTGGAAACGTTTATCACCATGTGACGTTAGCTGCTCCGTTACGCACTGGGAGCATGTGTGAGCCGTCCGACGGTAGAGGGTTCGTTTTTCTCGCTTTTTAACGAAACCGAAGAAGAAGAAGAAGAAATGGTAGTTTTAAAACCGAACTACGGCTAGCTTGCTAACGCTACTGTTGTTTTTATTGGAGAAAGATGCGCGGAGCTAGCAGAGCTGAACGGTAGGACCACCGGCTGTGCGGTTAACCTTCAGCAGTAAAGTTTGAACCGGTCACTTCATCAAAAACAACAGGCCTAACGTTACCTTAGAGTAAAATGAAAAGTACACAAGTAGTATCAGCTAAACGCACCCAGTATCAAAACCAAGTGTATAATACTAAATTCATTTTAGTTCATGGGCAATAGACCTTTTTCACAGCAGCCATTTTTCACATGAAATAGTAGGGTCAACACAGGTGTTACCAATGTTACTAATTAAGGTTGCGTTCCATTTAGTGTAGCAGAGCCTTTCCAGTGAGCCAACATGAACAGCAGCACTCTCACTCTGTTTGAGCTTCAGACAGAATACATGAACATTTACATTTAGTTAGATTGTAACTGTGATTTCATCATACAGTAGGTCATTTTTATAAAGAATAACTTTTTGTGATATTGACTGAAACTTTCACTATATCCGGTCAGGGCTCCAGACTGCGACCAACAGACTAATATGTGTTGTAGGTCGCACTGGTGCACCTGACGCTGCCCGGGTGGAAACATACATTTATTTCACAAGCGCATCATCTCTCTGTGTTCTCCTGTGAGCGAACTCACACACTCATGGTAGGATCATATCTTGTTCTAAACCAATAAGAGACAGAGCTCGGGCGGGTCTTTGCCTCTGATTGGCTGTGGTCCTGTTCACCGTGCTAAGTTGCGTGTGTTTAAAAATTGCCGAGCCCCGGTCCTTCAGCGACAGCATCAGACTCGGAACCAGAGGACGAGACAACCCAGTCTGGGATAGAGCCCGGCTCCGAGAACCAAATTAAAAAGGCCAAAATATATTCCTTCAGACAGGACTGGCAGAACATAACATAACATAACATGTCTAAAAAACACACGATATGCCGTGACAGTGTGTGTAGAGAAAGTGGCCCCTCTGCCAGCTGCATTTCAGCGGCAGGTAGCAGTAATCATTATTATTATCATTAATAATTATTTTACTTGAAATGTTTGAGTTTGAAATGTTCAATTTCAGCTCAGTGAAGCAATTTAAGCACAAGCACTTTTATTTGGAAATGTTTTATTTTGCTTAGTGTATTAGTTTGAAATGTTCAATTTCAGCTCAGTGAAGCACTTTAAACACTTTATTCAAAGATTTTTAGATATTTTAAAGATATTTGACGACCTGAGAATGAGACTGAACAATTTATCTTTCTTGCCTCAAATCATCAAAATATGCTTAAAAAACTTAAAATGGCATTAAAACATACTGAAATCACTCAACCTTACATTTAGTTAAAAAACAAATATTTTTACAACAAGAAGGACCCCCGACACAGTTAACGGGGGAGGGAAGCAGCATTACAGGCAAAAGGCAGGAAAAAACAGCCGTGGCAATCAAAAGGACGCGGAGAAAGAGTCACTCGTGAGGATATTCAAGATTATATTGATAATGCAAATTCACCACGATATACTTAACAGAGTTTTTATCGCGATACGCTATAGTACCGTACACCTAGTCCAAAATATTCTTCCTTTTAACAATCTGTCAAATGAACGTTCCCTTTAATATTGACAGAGTAAACAGATGTGAAGATATGTGATAACCATCGCTGAGACAGTCTTCCATTCTGTTTGAAAGGAACAATGTCTGTGGTGAAGCTGGAGGAGTGTCGAGAGCAGATTCGCACAGAACTGGACAACGTGGTGGACTTCTGGCTCAAATACTCTCATGACACTGTACACGGGTACTGTAGTTACTGTTGTCTGCTGTAATACTATCCATCATGCAAACAGCTGTGGCATGCAGGCATTGTGTATCCTTGTATCGAACTTGAACGGCTGCTTCCTGTTTCAGAGGCTTCTTCACTTGTATCGGGAGGGACGGCAAGGTTTATGATGAACTGAAGTACGTGTGGCTGCAGGGTAGACAAGTGAGTCTCTGTGGTGATACTGGCTGTGTAAAACAAGCAATCCACCTGTTTGAAACGTGGATATCAGATGTTATGTCAATATTTTGTCTTGCTCCTTTCACAGGTGTGGATGTATTGCCGCCTGTACCGAACCATGGATCGCTTCCGCAAGCCTGAAATCCTTGAGGCAGCAAAAGCTGGTGTGTGAATGTAAAGCTTGATTCTGCTAGTTTAACTTGAGTCAGAGCAGTTGCGAGTCCACTTTATCAAGAAGTGTCTGGATTCATCAGAAGCTCCACAGTTTTTCTTTATTGTCACCAGTGACTCAGAGCAAGATAAGTTTTCTCCATGCTCCATTGTTCCCTGACTATAAATTCCAATCTTTTTCAGGACCCTCGGACCTTTCCTCTAGCATGAACATAATGCTACACTTTCCACTATTCAAACTATCCAAAAATTGTAGCTTCTGCAATTTGGATATATAGAAAAGTCAAAAAAGTGATGGAAACACCATTTGGGAAACATAAATGTTTCACAACAAGCCATTAAATACATACGGAGCTTTCAGTCTGGACCAATGTAGGGATGGCTGGGGGTGGATGCTGGTTGGTTAAATGTTCCCCAGACGATAAACCCTGTAGTTTTAATGAACCCAGATCACTTTTAGCCTCAGTACTGGTGAGCCTTGGGAAGAATTCATGTCTGTTGGATTTTCAGTTCAGCACTTTAGTATTATTGGGTGTCATGTAGATGCTTCATCTTTTTTTTTCTCAAAAGGATATTCTCATTTTCCAACACTTTATTTAGTTTTCTAGTTTTTATAAATTACCGTCCCCCCAGTTGCCCGAATTCATCACTTGGAAACATTTGTAAAAACACAGAGTGCAAATTGGAGACAAATTAGGTGTTTGCAGATGATTCAGATTCAGATATTTTCACCCTAAAAGCCTGGATGTCCAGATGTTGAGCTACAGATCAACAGCAGAGTGTCACTTTTGTAGACACAGGTGATTAAAGACAGCCATGATAGTGTTTGCTCTGTACTTTCCGCTCATCATCGAGGCACATTAAGTGCACAACATGTCGCTACTGTTGGGTAAACCTTGGATCTGCAAAATGCCCCCTTTTCTTACTGTGTGTGTGTGTGTGTGTGTGTGTGTGTGTGTGTGTGTGTGTGTGTGTGTGTGTGTGTGTGTGTGTGTGTGTGTGTGTGTGTGTGTGTGTGTGTGTGTGTGTGTGTGTGTGTGTGTGTGTGTGTGTGTTTTTTAACAAACATTTACATGTTACACATACAGTATGTCTATATGATAACTACTTTACGAGGAAGGTGAAGCCATGTATTCATGTTTTAAAAGGGCTTTACTGTGTACCCTGGTTCATACAATGTGTCTGATCATAAGCTAATGTTCTATTCTGTTTGCGTCTTAGGAGGAGCATTCCTGAGAAAGTTTGCTCGTGTCTCCAGCGGTGGCAGTGGCCCGTGGAAGTGTGCCTTCTGCTTAACAAGAGATGGTAAAGCTGTCAAAATTCAGAGGACTATATTCAGTGAGTGTTTCTACATCATGGCCATGGATGAACTGAGCAGGGTCACTGGTGACAAGGACATGCAGGTACAAAGACAGTATTCAAACTAGATTGTTTCTTACACATAGGATAGGAATCGCCGGTTTTTGCCCTGCTAGTTTTGAGGTGTTAGGATGACAGTATTGATCTAAGTGAAATGGGTAAATGGAAAAGGGATAATGTGACCTTTTCTTTAAAATATTTTCAATAAGTAAATATAACCCTGGGATTTCAGCATATTATTCGTAATGTGGCCATTTTTATATAATAAATAAAGCATTTATTATTTAGATTTGACAATTAAGTGTTTATATTCCACATCTTATTTGCTGTACCAAAAACATACTGAACCGAAAACCATGACCCTAAGACCATGATATGAAGCATGAATTCTGTGAACCGCACCACCCCTAATTCCCAGCAGAAAGGAAAACTTCTTGGTTTTGTGCTATGGTAACATCTCCAACAGTTTTCATAGTTTCACATAGTTTCCACCACTCTGACTTTTTGCTTTTTAATTGTGTATATGATTTGTGGGAATTGTAATTTAATTTATCAAGGTTGTTTACTGGTGCACGATTATTTATTATTTTAATAAATAACAATTAGATCATCAAGGTCAATACATTCATCCCCTAAGACTAACAAATGACTTAATGACATGCATACGGCAGTATTTTAGCTGCAAAAGTGATTGGATTGAATTTTAGCTTCATTGAGAGACCTTCTCCGTAGCAGCTGAGATTAATAGGAGACTGAAAGACACAATAGTCCATTGTGTTGTGACACACTGTAGATGTTCCATGTATTGGATTTGTGCTACTTTTTATGCTGATAGTGCATAAACAGAAAATGAAATTCAACAGGCTACAGTAAAACTAGTTCTCTATTTTTGTTTCACAAATTTGGATCATGGTTCCCCAAAAATGGTCCTTCTGACATTGTTGAGACAGACAACAGAGGACTCCCTGTAATAATGTAACTGCTGACATAATCAGAACCAGTACACTTGTAGTACTTGTTCAGAAATACACTGATATGTAGTCTATACATTGTCGGAGCCACACTGACTATATATATATATATATATATATATATATATAAATATATATATATATATATATATATATATATATATATATATATATATATATATATATATATTAAATTTGATATGTATCAACATTTATATACTGGAAATAGCAAAATTGTAATATTACATATTTCATACCTTGTATGTTTGGACCTTTTGTGGTCAATCTACATCTAGCACAGAAGCTAAGCAATGCACTGCTGGGGGCGGGGGCTGCGACAAAACATAAAAAAGGCATACCTAAAAAATGAATATCAGGTAAAGAGTACGCTATATTTAGAATATTTTCACTATTGGTGCTGTGGCTATGCTGTGTATTCTGTGGACAATCCTTCAGCTTACATGAGGCTGAGTAAAACGAATGATACTTGGTAAACATGCCTGAACACGCTTGATACTAGCCTTCCCATTCCCACATTATCACACATTTACTCTGATTGTCTGGCCTCTGCTCTGTTGTGTTGCTAGCTGGAGGCGGAACAGATGATGCAGCAGCTGATCTACTGGGTCCGGGAGGACTCGTCAGACCTGGGCCGACCCCAGCTTTCTGGAGATGTTCCCACCAACAGCATGGCAGTTCCCATGATGCTGTTGTGTCTGGTGCAACAGCTAAGTGAAGGTCGGGGGCAGGAGGTGGTTCAGAAGTATAGAGAGCTGGGCAGCTGGTGTGTACAGCAGACACTACAACACATCCAGGTATGGACACATAAAACATGACGGATGCTTTGTGGTTAACATGACTTGCCAGAGGTCTATAATTACAATGAAGATTGTGTCCTTTCAACAAAAGCTGAAGGGTGGAAAGGTCATGTCATACTGTAGCATCAGTATCTGGTGACAGGAAATGCCTAGCTTATAATGAAATCCTTCTCCAATGAAAGCCCAGAAGGTGTGCCTGAAAAGCTGGTCTCTTAACTGTAGTCAGCTGTTTGCAAAATGGGTGGTGCTAGACTTTGTGATGTAGTAACTACTCGCAGGCCTTGTTGCTGAACTACAGTTTTTTGCAAGCCAACTGCTAACACTTTAGCCAACGTGCTACACTGCAAAAAAGGAATCTCAAGAACGTAAAAAGGCTGATTCTGGTGCCTTCATTTAAGACAGTCACTTATTTTTATTGTGCTGTTTGAAGGCATTGTGTCTTATTGTTAGATTTCTCTGCTAATTATGAATCTGTTTTTGCAGCGTTCACAATACATTTACAAGCTAACTGCGTTACCATTAGTTCACCATTAGATAAAGTAGATTTGAACTTGAAGCAAAAGAATTGTGCAGACTTACTGTTTAATGTTTCTGCAAGCTGATCTACTGATTGTAGGAATTTAGTTTGCTTTGTAATTGTGCTGTTAAAATACTGGTGTGACAGGGCCATTACAGCAGATTTCAAGTCACAGCAAAAAACAAATGTAGAAAACTGCTGACAGAGAGTACATTCCTGCAGCGAGTTGACTTTTCCACTTTTAATGAGCATCTTCAGTATGTTCCAAACTATTTTTTGCAATAAAATGTTAAATATGCTGCTTTAGCCAGAGCTTCAGAGTTGTAAGGAGGCAATAGTGCAGCATGGAAGTACTGTATTTTGCTGTGAAAAAACTAGGAGTGCAAGCTACAAACTTTTATTTTTTGCAAGGCAACTACAGTGAAACACAGCAAAACTAATATTTCACCTTTTAAATGCAACCATGTAAGTTGTCCATTCAAGGGCTCTGTCACACAGAAAAACACACTTTATTACAAACTTTTATTTGAGTTATTCTGGCCATCAGTTTTATTGGTTGCAATAACCAATGCACACTGAGCCCCCAGGTTAGTCAAACACACAACATACTGATGAGTATGTTGTTGTAGGACTGCATTTTTAGTAGTTTGCATTATTACTAATATCAATGTGCTTTTGAATGGTTTTTTCCACCTTTGGAACAGAAGCCAGAAGTTACAGTTTCACTCCAACTCTCTACTGGAAGATTGTCCAGTTAGTTGTTAGTTGTTCCAAGTTGTTTAATATGCTGAATTTAATGTATTTCTAATCTTGTCATTTGATACAGAGAGACGGCACTGCTATTTTAGAGAATGTGTCGCTGGAGGGAGCAGAGCTGCCGGGTTGCCAGGGCCGTCTGCAGAACCCAGGTACACACTGCCTGCTCCCTAGACAGCCAGATAATGTCAAATCTTATTCATACAGCCCAGTATCACAAATCACATATTTGTGTCAAGGGGCTTTACAATCTGTACAGCATAACACACCCTATCCATAGACCCTCAATTTGGATTAGAAACACTAAAGAGACAACCACAGCATTTGCACAGATTGGGGGACAAACAAACACACAGAGGGAGAGGGAGACATGATAGCTGGCAAACTAGGGAGAGAGGAAAAGAAGAGGAAAGGCTGAATCTCCTAGAGAATGATGATCAAGATCCAAACGTCTGGATGAGGCCAGGAGACAGAGGTCCCAGGCGACTGATGGCCAGGCAGAGAACCCTGAGTGACAAGAGAGGATAAGGAGGAGCAAATAACTAGGGAGAGAAAGGGAGAAAGATGGTGGGAGAATAGCTTAGTTTTAAATATCTCAAAAGAGTCACAGTCTGATATCATCAGGGGCGTTATTCTAGAGGAAAGGAGCTTGATGGGAATAGGCCCTGCAGCTTGCTGACTTCTTTTTAACTCTGGGGACAGACAGGAACCCATATATCCTCAGAGAATGGTGAGCACAGGATAGAATATAAGTTCAGGGCACTCCCCTTTTTACCTGTCCAATTTACAATTTTGTAAGTCATCAGTAGCACCTTTTTAAAGTCTGATCCAGCACAGATATGGAGCCGATGAAGTAAAGCTAAAATTATTGTAAACAAAACTCCTCATGCACTGCCAACAACAGTCAGGTGCTGGTAGGTCACATGACCATGTAGTAAGAAATTTGAATTAACCACAGCACACTGGAGTGACTTTACTGTGATTTATTTAAAAGCGAACAATGCATTTCGCTTGCAGCTTCCTCAGGTTCGCCTTAAATTATTTTAATATGGTGAAATTTTCTGGTTTAATTAAGGCTACTGGGCTTGTTAGCTAGTTAGTTTTAGCTCGAATTAGAGACTCTACATCAGCCATGGACAGAGAAGATGTAATTTTAGCTTTGTTCCGTGTGTTGTAAAAGGTGATCTTGGTGATTTCTTTAATGTGTTTATCAAAAGAGAGGATCAAATGTAACCCAAAGATTTTTGAAGAGATCACACAGTTGTCGAAAGTTACTGCTACTTGATCAAACTGATGTCCTTATCGAGCAGGGCCAATGAGCAGCAATAAGGAGCAGGAAATTACATGACATCCAGAATTTCACAGGGAATAACGGGTCTCTAAATGAATAATTTGAGCATGAATGTCTGCCTTTACAGACACATACAGCTGAGTGTCATCAGTGTAGCGACAGGAATGTATTCCATAAATGCGTATAAATTGGCCAAAAAGGTGAAATGCATAAAGAGAAAAGCAGTGGGCCAAGAACAGAGCCCTGAAGTAATCCCTATTTCATTTTATAATATATATGGTGTAATATTGTTCTAGGAGACGCACTTTCAGATACCTTTTTAATAAACGAGAGCCAGGCTAGAGACACCAAATTGGTTTTTGTGTCAGCCTAGGAGTATACCATGATCTATGGTATCAAAAGCTGCAGTAATAGAAGAGCAGAGGTGGAATTTGAAGGCAGATAGAAAAGCTTAAAAAAGATTACTGTTAATTATGTGGGGCAAATGTTGCTGAGATACAACTCTTTCTAATAGCAAACAGTGAGTGCATGGGGAAGCTTGGGTTGAGCTCTTTTCCTGTGCTTTGCTGCTTACCTCAACATTTTCCATTTTTCTTTGGTCTTCCTCATATGCTAATCCTTGCTGACTCAGGCCATGCCCTGGAAGCAGGCTGGTTCCTGCTTCAGTTCAGTGCAGAACGGGGGGATGAGGAGCTCCAGAGGACTGCCATTGAGAAGTTTGTGGAGCTCCCTTATCAGTACGGCTGGGATAAAGAGCACGGTGGCCTCTTCTACTTCCTGGATGTAGACGGTCACTGCCCCACGCAGGTGATCATTCATCTTTACACAATGGTGTTTTACTTTAGGCAGTAAATGCTGTTGCATTTTGCTTGTAATTGCAGATATGTTTTCATTTGGTTGATTTCTACGTTTTCTAAAATGCATCAAATCAGGCTGTCTCATCCTGCTTGTGTGTTTGACCAGTTGGAGTGGAGTATGAAGCTGTGGTGGCCTCACTGTGAGGCTCTAATCGCCTTCCTGATGGCCTACAGTCAAACAAAGAGACCAGAGCTTCTGGAGAGATTCTCTCAAGTCTATGAATACATCTTTAGCCATGTGAGTTTACACTGCACTGCCAACCAGCCACAGGAGGACAGCTTTACATTTTTCATTATTTGTTTTTTGGAATAGTTTTTGGAATTACACTTGTTCTCCTTATTTTAAGATTTTCCAATAGATATTAATCCCACGTCTTAACTACAGAGTTGGAGTCAGGATGTGGTTAGCCAAGCTTAGCATAATGACTGGCAGCAGAGGTTAAAAACAGCTAGCCTGGCTCTATCCAAAGTTCATAAATAAACCTACCTGCACCTCAAAAGCTTACTTATTAACACATTGTGTCTTGTTTGCTTGATCCAAGGACACACAGAAACAACAATTAGTGAGTTTAGTCCAGAGTGAGTTACATGCTGGAAATTGTATTTTCTGGTTGAACAACATCCAGGTGCAGTGACTGTGTGCAGTATCACTGAGTCTTGTCACAGTTTGCTTTCCCACTACTGGAAACTAACTGTCCCTTACTTTGAGCTTCCCGTACCTAAGGAGGGGCACCCTGGTTGCTCATCTGGTAGAGGATGCACCCCATGTACCAAGGCTGAGTCCTTAACCTGAGACCCTAACCCATTAAAATTTAAACAAACTGTGTGTATCACACATAAAGCCTGCTTTATGGATTTCTGTTGGCCATGTTTCAAATTAGCTGTTGCTTTTCCCTTGACAAGAGGGTGGATTTAGTGCAGCGGGGCTGAAGTTCCACAAACATCTCCATTGTCTTTAGAACGCCTGACTGCACCAGATCAATGTCAGTCTTCCACCTGCAGGTGGACTCATGCCCACTAGAGATAAGCCCAGTGAGGGCGGTATCATCTGCAAACTTCAGGAGCTTGATGGAGTGATGACTGGAGGTGCAGAGGGTGAAAGGATGCATTTTGCGAGGATCTGATGCTAATGGTCTAGGAGTCAGAAACCTGTTTCCCCAGCTTCACATCCTGTCAGACAGAAAGTCAGGCACACTCAGCTGGGAGAGCTTGCAGTCCTCACAGAAGCTGGTATTGGATGTCACTAAGTCCATTAATTAAAAAGATTATATGAGAAAAGTGTTCATGAGCTCTTCTCTGGCAAAAGAGCTCCAGCTGAAGCGAAACACTTTATTTACAAGTTTATTAACAAAACAATTTGCACACAACACACTGAAGCAGCCATCTGTGGCATCTTGTAATTACTCATTTAGGTTAATCCTAAAACAGTACAGTGGGAAGAAAAGCAAACCCTGTGACATGTTGGCTACATGTTAAGTTTCATGTTATTATGTTCCTTCAGTGGAAAAGGCCTAAATTGGGTTTTCAAGAAATAGTTCCAGCATGTAACACAGAAATATATCTTTGTGTACAAACAAAACAAACATACAAAAAATAAAAATACAGCTTCAGGTTTTTGGTATGTGTGCTTTTGAACTTCGGATAGAGCCAGGTTAGCTGTTTCCCCCTGCTTTGTTTTTTATGTTAAGCTTGGCTAACCAGATTTGAGTTCCATACTTATCACACAGAACAATTCCAGTACAAACCAGCTCATTACATTCAAAGCTCACACATACTTTATGTGGAACCTTTTGAAGCTTACTAAATGTTGAATTGTTTTTGAAAAATAAATTTCTCTGTATATTTTTAGTGCACTGTAGGCCTAATATACTGTATGTGTTCCTGACTCTGTGCAGTTTCCTGATGCTAAAAGTGGTGAGTGGTTTGGCTATTTGACACAAGAAGGCAAAGTAGCACTGGATTTTAAAGGAGGCCCCTTTAAAGGTAAGGATGTCACTGAGGTGTTGAATTGACTGAATGCAACAACAGAAAAATCTGTCAAATTACCATGTATTAATGAAATGACTGGTGGAACACTGGTTAGTTGAAAACGGATGAGCGCTGTGGTTTTAAACTGTACAGTGAAGTCCTGTTCTCGTAGTTGTCCTGTTAAGTCTGAGCTCTGTGTGAAACCAAGACTCTTAATAAAAGGGGGAAACTCCACCGATAACTGCATTTCTCTTCTCTTCTGCAGGGTTCTTCCATGTGCCTCGCTGCCTGTACATGTGTGAGCGTATTCTGGATGATCTGCTGACAAACAAGGACTGAGCGTTCTGACATGAATGTTGTAATAATGGGACTAAATCTGATTTGAGGGGCTGTCCACTAAATCACACCATAATAATCAGGTTTTAAAGCAAAGTTGCACTGATTTGCTGTGAAGTTACTTGTGCCATGCAGTCACTGAGCGGCTCATAAAATTAGTTGTGAAGCTATATTACAGCATTACTACTGTGTAAAACAGTAGTTGCCTTCATATACTGGTATTTTTTGGCCACCAGTGGCAGTCTGTATAACATTAATGTAAGATACCTTTCTTGCTCAGGCTATAACATGTGTTTTTATACTTTATCCACCTGATGCTTTTCCTTCCTATAAGTGAGAAGATATCCTACCCTTCCGTGATTGTATTGTTAACATTCTTCCTTTATTGTATTTTATGAGCAACTCCGTGCCTGAAATGTCCAAAGTACGGGCGACAATGATCCAGGATTTAGATTTCCCATTTCACCTGGATGGTGAAGGGAAAACCCACACAGACACAGGGAGAACCTAAAACCTCCGCACAGAAAGCACTCACAACTCTGGATTGAATTACAACCCACCTTTTCTTGGACTGAGGCACTGTCCCTCCCTCATCATACATACTAATACATTGGCATGTCAAGATGTGCCTTCTACATGCACACGGAACCGTTGAGTCAGACCTTTTAAAGACCATGTATTTTTACATCCTGTTCATTCCACTTTATTCAGCTAATATCAACTCTGCTGGATGTTCGTTTTAAACATACCAATTGCTATTCTAACATACTGGTGAACCACAGTGTATGTGAGACAACAGTTGACCCAACAGAGTCCCACCCCTATTTGCTCTGTGCTAACAGTTGAGCAGGCGTCAGTCAGAACCTCTCTGAGCTGCTGTACAAACATGACGGTTCAAAATGGCGGACTCCATGGAAGGCGACCCATGGCGCCTGGAGATATCGGACTTATCTAAGATAACAAAAACACAACGATTCTTATTTTTAGGTTATTATACAATATTGTTAGTTATAAAGCTAAGTAGTTAGCAAGCATTTTTCCCAACATTAGCTTTCATATGTAACTAGCTAACTTAAGATGTGACTATACATACGTATGTATGTCGCTTTGTGGTTTGTAGTAGTAGGTAGGTGTTTTTTCAACATAGATTAGCCTAGCACATAGCATACCTCAGTACAGGAAAGGAGGAAGTTGACTGAGGTTGTGACAGAGGTTTGCTCAACTGTTATTGGAGCACAGAGCAAAAAGGGGCGGGACTTAGGAATGTTCAATTAAACCAATAGGATCTTATTGCTTATGGCCAGTAAATAAATTGTATATTGAAATATTACAGCTGATGATGAAATGTGATTAAATGTATGCAGATTATTTTATGGAAATAATTTCTTATTAGACAGTCGATGACATTGAAGTTTCAAATGCCTCTTGTGAAGCAAGCGGACCTACAAGAATTTCATTGTAAGGAAGCAATCTACCACAGTATGAGTCGTTAATGAGCGAGTCATTTTTTACCTCCGAACAAAACTCCACAGAAAGTTAAACATCCCTTATGACTAATTTGCTCGCTGTTGCTTTTTTGCACATCCAGCATGGAAAAGCATTTATTTGATGTCCACCTGGTCTCCACCAACTCATCTGCTCCTCTTTGTCTCATCAGTTAGTCTCTACCTGTGTCTCTGTGCTGTTTGGGGCAGGGCAGGCAGTGTACAGAGGATCTAAACCAAAACTGTAAAACAATGAGCTGAAAGACCCTCAAAAACAGCCAATTTGTTGATTTCTCTCTGTTTCCAGTGACACCTTTCACATCACACATAATCATATTTGCTAAGTGATGTTCTCAAATATATATTCAGTGCAATCTAGTAAATCACATTTGTTTCTTTGGGTTACAAGAAATTGTGAATAAGTCAGTTCATCTTAAAGTGTTGTGGAATCACACAAAGAAACAGTTCTTTATTTTATTTTACACTACAGTCCACACACACACACACACTTCTTACGGAGCTCTAGGGTTTATTATTTTCCAGATAGCGATATAGCAAGTAAACAAACTACATAACCGAAGTAATCATAGCCAATAACACTGATCTGTACATTAGAATGTGTCTAAGACGAATATTAAACCATCAACAACAGAAATAATGCTGCTAAAAGTGACAATGTCAAACAATGTAACGTTAGCTCTCTGACTGAATACTGAACGCTTGTGAAACCGTTGGACATTAGTAACGTTAGTTCATTCATGAATATCAGTGACAGGTGATACAGCTGCCGGACGTCACACGTACCTGACGTCACTTACTGACGCTGAGGTGGAGGGAGTTGTCATTTGACAGTCCTCGCGCCTCTCCCCTCACCTGCTCGCTGGGCGGAGCTAACGTTAGCGGGAGGGGAACGAGGACAGACGTCAGCATAGTGGCAAACAGCCGCGGTTTGAGATAAAGTGTTCGGACATTGAAATATGTATATAACGTTATAGAGAGAGAGAGCTGTAGCACTACACAGTATGAGAGCAAAACAGTTTAATATTTCTCAGAACGGAACCGGATGTTAGCAAACCCTGGTAGCTTTAAAAGCTCTTTGCTATCATCAGTGTGTCTGTCCGGGTGCGCCTGAAGCGTACACAGACGAAGATAACTATATTTAACAGAAACAAAGAGTCTGCGCTTCAACAAAAAAACAACACTACTTTATATCAAAACAAACTGAAAAAGATTTGCCCCATTGAATACAACCCGGTAACAGACCGGAAGTTTGATGTAACGGATGCGATGGAGATAGGAACGGAAGCCGGGAGGCGAAGTGCCAGAAGAAAAATCTAGAGTGAATTTGCCAGTGTGGACAGAGCAGAAACAGACGGGTTGTGCGAATAAAACGGCGGGTTATTTAGTCGACATATGACAATGGCGGGGCAACCTCACCTTGTACTTTAACGACGAAAATAAGTAGCGTGCTTTGGCGGAGCAACTCTTCATGGTCCCGGCTCTCATGTAAACATAGCGCGCTCCAGGAATTATTCGGTTTCGTGTTTGATTAAAGACGCTGCTTCCGTTCCGCTGGACGGCTGCTGGGAACATTACAAGTCAAGTTTCACCTGTTTTCATGAGCGATGTATCCCGCAGTTAAAGACATGGATGCGGTGCACAGGTACAGTTACATAGAAGTTAAATACATCTGACACGTCATTCCATTACACACTTATTACACATTGTTTAGTTGAAGCTAATAAGAAAACCCCTGTTAAACAACATACACAGTCCCCTTTCTTGTCAGATTTGGTATTGTTTTTCTTGGTCCAGAGAATTTTATTTTCTGTGGTTCTGAAATGACCCGTGAGTTAGGGCAGCCTCAGGAATAGGAGTGTAATGAGCAGACTTTAACATCACACCATGCTGTCAAACTAAATCTGTGGTGTAATCATGGTTCAGAGTAACTGTCATGGCCGGCTTAGTCTGCTCCGGGGCCTGGGGCAAAAATGGGCCCCCAAGGTCCCCTCTTTGCATAATAATGCAAAGCATTCTTGGACTTAATTAAACATATTAATTTGGGATCATAAAGGAATATTCATCAAACTATGTGAGAAAGAACTTAACAGATTAAGGTTTTAAGACTAAACAAAGGGCCTCGAGGTCATGTAGTATAGCGATGGGTCGGTCGCGAACGATCCGGCTCTAAGAGCCGGCTCTTTGAAGTGAACGATGGGAGCCGGCTCCTGATTGGGAGCCAGATCCGGATTTTTTTCCCGTATTTTCCCGTTTTTTCCTGTTAAAGCCGCGTGATTGGTCAAGATGTGTAGCGGCATCTGTGTATTTACACTGAGCAGTAGGGGGGAGGGAGGGGTTACAGACACGGCACAGTGAGCACGTGAACAGGTGGGAGGGAGACCTGAGAGCGAGAGACCTTGGCGCTACATAGACAGAGACTACACACTGGAAAGGGCGAGGAAAATGAGTGACAGGAAACGCAGTAAAGTTTGGACACATTTTAATGTGATAGTTCAAAGGCAGAGTGTAGACTGTGCAAAGTTAAACATTTCATATCGAGCAGATTTTTGTCTAATTGAGATGGGTCTTTGTTTTTGTGTTTTATAATTTATTTTTTGTAGCACTATTTTTGTAGCACAGCATATATAAATCCATATAAATACTAAACATTTGATGTAATGTATGTATTTACATTAGATATTCATTTTACACTTAATTTGGTAATAAATTAATTAAAGCAACAAAAAATCTGAGGAGCCACTTGGGAGCCGAAAGAGTCGGCTCTTTTTAGTGAGCCGAGCCAAAGGAACCGGTTCTCTAAAAAGAGCCGGAATTCCCATCACTAATGTAGTAGACTCCACCTTAATATTATACTTCACTATACTATATTTCAAGACGACGTTATGATTGAATTATACAAGAGGCCAGCTCTATTCTTGATAACCTTCGTTAGCTTTGATTTAATACCAATAGTTAAATCATAATTTATGATATGAATAAAATATTACCAATCATAATGAAGTTTTTAAAGGAACAATAAAATGTAATGGGAAATTTGCATAGTCGAGTTGGAGTCAGGACAGCCTAGCTTATCAGGCTAGCTGTTTCCCCTGCTTCCAGTCTAAATGCTAAGCTAGGCTAACAACGCCCTGACGCCAGCTCTGTACTTAACCCTTTATCGGGCGAGGAACCAAATATGGTCACTTCCTTATGACAGTTTTTATTACACTTCTATGGCATATTTTGGCAGGTTTTTTATAGGTGATATACTAATATACACTTCACTGCTTTCTTTCACAAATAACTCAAAGTGGGCTTGATCTTGATTTGCTTATGACTTATTTATTACATATTTTCATAGTATATTGATGAGTGGCATATTTCTTTTGCAGCAGCTGTTTGCTCAGTCCTTCTATGGGAAGAGGAGGTCTGCTGACTGTTGTTGTGCCAGCCCACCTGGACATCACTGACTTTGATTTTCAGCCTAAAACTGAGTATTTCAATGAGTGCCCTGTAAAGGTTAACACACAGACATGAATTGGGCCTTTTTCAGACATTTGACTTATCATAGCATAGAACAGGTGTTACTATAAATATTAGCGAGGGCTCTGTCGTAGCATTGGATGAGGTCGATGTACTTGCTTGACTCTTGCTTGTTTTGCGTTGTATCCACATGGTTGTATGCACTTATTGTTTGTAGCTTTGGATGAAAGCATCAGCCACAATGTACTGTAATGTTCTGTTTGAGTCTCCCAGTAAGTTATGACAGTGTGACAGTGAGCTAACTGGTACAACACCTGGACCATGAAACTGAAGAAGCCAAACAGAATTCAGCCATATGCATTTTATTATTTACACCTGTGATCTAGACCTGCATTGTTTAGGAATGTCATTTGCCATCTGACATAATGGACAAAAAAGTGTTGCTTTAAGTATGTCTTCACCTTTTAATCTTTACTGTTGTTGACTAGGTTTACAGCGGTATACCGATACCATGGTATGAAAATTGATGTTGTTGATTGTTTTGTGATATTGTAGCGATTCTTGAAAAAAAAAAAATCAATGTTGGTGTTTAAACCCCCAACCTCGAGACAACAGTGTTGTAAACGTAAACTGAGGGTTATGATGTTGGATACAATATATCGCCTCGCTTACAGTATCGCAATATATTTAATTATAACTCTCCTGTATCATGGTACGTATTGTATCAGCAGATTCTCGCCAATACACAGCCCTATTGTGTAGTACCATAAACCGTTATCAGTAATGGTACCAAAAATCCCTGTTATTGACTGAACTCTGTCTGTGTTCTGTTGTCTTTTCTCTCAGTGGCACCGGTGTCTTCTACCAGGCAATGCCTGCTGTTGGAGCCGATGGAAAGAACATCATGAAACTGATTCCTGTACAAATGGTCAATGGACAGTATTTCCAAACTCAAATAAGCAAACCCAGAATGGATCCTGCGCCACAGAAAGCTGCAACCATAAATATAGCCTCAGCACCTGTGCACATAGTAAAAACGGCAGCATTAAATCCTTTTTCCTCTCAGCAGGTTTTCACAAAACCGGTTTCCTTTGTGAATGCCTCGTCTAATTACATAGATTTGGATCCTCGTAATTCACTAAACAAGCATCCACCACAGCAACAGGCTGTGAAAGTAATGGCCAAATTACCTCCAATGGCAACACCTGCAACAAACTGTGAGAAGTCAGTGAGACTTCCAAGCCAGTTCCCAGTGACGGTGAAATCTCCAGCACTCCCCATAGGACAGTACCTCCAGATTCCCCCCAATGCACAAGTCCGAACAGTCCCAGCATCGGAACTCCCTCAGGTTATCAAGAAACAGATTTTTACTTCACCAGTCAGCTCCTCTCCAGGTTCAGGCTTGCCCAATGTGGTTTACGTGTCACCTATCACTACAGTGAATCAAGGCGTTACTCCACCAAGTGATTCTGCACCTCACCTACTGAAGCTGCTTTCCAGGACATCGAGTAAAACATCACGTGGACCCCCATCGAAAGGATCAAAACCACATTTAAAACTGATACCAAAGTTTTCACAGAGGCCCAACAGCCCCATAAAGTGGATGATTGAAGAAGAGGACACTCCCACTCTTGATCCTCTCAGTTCTCCTTCTGTCACTTCAGAGATTCTTTGGGCTGTTGCAGAGAGAGAAAATGCCAGCAAGCACTGTGACGTTATTACAAAACAAGTATCTCAGTCGTGTCTGGGAGAAAGTGGACAAGGGCAGGAAAACGCCTTGGTCATGTGCAACGGGAAAGTGTTTTTTGTCTCGAAAAAACGCAACCTGACACTTGAAATGGGAGAAAGCGACCCACCAACACTATCACCAAAATGTTATGAATTCAACAAAACCATTGTATCTTCATCCCAACAATCACTTGAGCCGGTGGCACCTGAAATAAGGCAGGACCTCAAGATTATCATTCCAGACGAGTCAGAGGAAGTGATTGACCTTTGTGATGATGATGCTCAGGATGACCCGTCTCAACAAGCAACATCAGTTAATACGACAGCTCAGGTAGATGAAGACAATGTCATATTTGTGTCTTATATTCCGCCCAAATCTGAGTCAGAACGGCCAGCTGATCTCAGCAGTGGAATATGATAGTACATGCGTGATATAGATATAAAAATCAAGGGCACCCCCCCCCAAAACATGGGGAGAAGGGAAGTTAATGTAGAAACAGAACGGCCAGCTGATCTCAGCAGTGGAATATGCTCGGGAATAGAGAAGAACACCCACAAAACGGAGGTGAGTGAACTTCTGTTGATCATTACTTTGGAATACTCTTTAATAGAAATGTTTTCAAGCAGGATATTAAGATATTTAACTGCACAGTTACTGTGGAGCACTCATAGTTTCCAGTAGGGATGTGCACAATTAATCGACTAGTCGGTTAAACGCTGTTAATCTAACTAGACGACACCAGAAATACTGGTCGGTTAAACTAATATATTTTATTAATGTACAACACTGGTTAATTGCATCCTTACACAGCCACCTGCTACTAACCAGGAAAACAGCAGTCCCCATCCCTGCACTAATGCCACCGCTGGTTTTAGGTAGGGATGGGGATCTAGACCTGGTTCTATAAGGACTTGAAGTTTCTCAAAACCTGAAAATCAATAAAGTCAGAGCTTATCAATACTGGTGTCGAGACTAGGGGGTCCTACAACGTTATGTCTCTCTCAGAGACGAGAGTCATGTCATTAAGATCAAATCAGTGATGCACAAAAGTTTTGGAATTCAGTTGAACTGCCTGCCAGGTTAAAGGGTTAGGCCGTAGCATCGTAGTCTTGTTTGTATATTGTTTGTATTTTAAAGAGTGTTTTTTTTTTTCTTATTGCAGAGCTCTATAAATCCTGTAACAAGTTGGACATCTTCACCAGCGCCAAAACCCTGTCAAATGTCCGACCATATCCTGCGGTGGATGTTTAGGATAACAGCTGATGTGAGAATTTGCCTGCAGAGGATTGATGAAGCCCCAGGCTGGTTGAAAGAGAAAGAACCTTTTTTACAGGACGTTTACAGTCTGCAAGAAACTGACAGCGACAAGTCAGGTCTCAATAATGTCAGACGATGGAAAGTGCTGACTGGACAGGAAGTGTCAGCAGACCCTCACACACATACTGGACCTCTCAAATGCTCACACTTCAAACTAAACACAAAACCTCTGTCTGCTCTGAAATGCCGTTCAGGCCAGAATTCACTCAAGGGAACGTCACATGATGTTGAAACTGAGCCAGTGATTGGCTACGTGGAACCCATAGACGAGGATTTCCTCAGCACAGATGAAAATGTCATCCCCAGCTCACAGGACACAGACGCCCGGACACAGACTGCGACTTGTGTGGATCTGAACACGAACACAAGAAGGGTGGGAAGAACAAGGAAGCGCACAATGTGTCCATGTTGCATCCCCGGTACTCAATATCCTGCAGTGAAGTCCAGCGCCAAGTCAGTAGAGCCAGAAAAGTGGGCACGGACGACAGAGCAGACGAGTAGAAAAGGCGGAAAGCAAGACAGAAGAGCTTCTGACGGAGGGAGAGGCAGCTTTAGAACTGATGAGAAACAGCAAAGATAATAAGAAAATCCAATATTTCAGACTTTAATATTCTAACATAGATGTTACAAAGGTAATGGATTTATTTTAGTATCTAAACTGTCATTGCTACTATTTATGTCATTAGAATTAACAAGGACTAACACAAGTATCACGCTGGCTGGAATATGAATGCCTCTAGTTTAACAGAGGTTGGATTAAAATTCAGTAATCTGAATTGTAGGTGTAAAAAATGTTTTATTTTAAATATGATTTTGTCAGGTCCCATTTGATTGGATTATTGAAGTCAACTTTAGTTGTATAAAGTTGCATTTTTCAGTCTCCCTTGTGTTTTTGTGAAAGATTTGTGTCGATCATGCTGTAAAAACAAAATGAAACAGACATTGAACCAATACCAATTTTCCTTCCTATCCTTCGTACCTTTTTACCAGTATGGGTGTTAAATTGCATTCATAATGGTCTTGAAAGTCTTAAGAGCCGAGAAAGATATAAAGACGCTTTGGGTTGAAGGCTTGAAGACGAGTCTCATTCCCAGGGTCCCAAAGCGTCTGTATTTGACGACCTGGGAATGAGATCTTTCTTGGCTCTGATTGGTTGTTTTCATTCAGGCTCAACGGATTAAATACCATTAGGAGCACTAGGAAGAGCCAGAGGAACCTGATCAATTCACAGATGGCCTATCTCAGGTACTACTGTCAGGATATAGTGAAAGTTTTAGCAAATATGACAAAAAATGTTTCAATAAAAATGACCTGCTGCAGCTTTAATTTAAAAAAAAATCTTATATCAGGTGTAATATTGTAGGGACTGTGAGGCTCTCCAAATAACAGGGAGAGTAGGCAGAATATTCATTATACTCCCAGAATGCACCACATGGTGTTGACTGACACTTGCACGTGTGACACACCAGGTTTCCCGCTGTGAAACTAGAAGGCCGCTGTCTTCTGCCTTAAAGGTTACTTTGATTAAAAATCTTTAAGAAGCAGCACTGCGAAGTGTCAGAGGCGCTGAAGAAGCAACCTGTATCCAATCCACACTGACTGCTAGCTCCATTTCAGGCCACCAAACAATACCACTAAAACAAGTGCTTGGTTGTCAAAATCCAAATCATCTCAATTCAAAGTCTACTTCCTAGATTTTTTGAAGACTATGAGATGCAGTTAAAAGCTCAGAAAAAACTATTAAGAGGATGTTGAGTTGAGATTAAGATAATCATATCAGCCAAATATTTTCCCATCACTGAAAAGCTTTATATGCTGATAGTTCAACTGGTGGTCTTGAACAATGGTGTTTACTGTAGTTCAAAGGAGAAGAGAGGAGAGAAATAGACGTATATGATCCTGGCCGAGTCTCGGATCAGTTTTTTTTAGTAATTTTCTATTTATCAGCATAGTTGTTTTTTTGTTTTTTTTATAAAATAAATGTAAAACTTTATATTTTTATTATTAAATTATATTAAATTAATTTTTATTCTAAATTAACTTTGGCTCTGACGCACTCTGTAGTCTTGCTCAGTGTCCCGCCCACAGTACTACCTGATTGGTTACACGTCACAAGTACAGTAATAATGTTTTTTAAGATAACGTTGAAAAGTTGTCTTTGCAGCATTTAATTAAACATATGCTTAAAGTACTCAGATCTTGTACTTAAGTAAAAGAAGCAATACCACAGTGTAAAAATACTGTTACAAGTAAAAGTACAAAAGTATTAGCATCAAAATATACTTAAAGAAAAGTGCAGAATGGACCATTTTATGTATATTATGTATTAATATCATTTATATTATATTATTGGATTGAAATTATTGATACATGAATGTGATTATTAATGTTGCAGCTGGTAAAGGTGGAGCTCATTTGGATTACTTTATAGTGCGAGTAGCTTAATCCATAATAAACATCATCCTTTATTAGTTGATTTATATGTTGTATTAATAATGTGAATCTGCAAAGTAACTTAAGTTATCAAATTAAAGTAAAATATCTGCCTCCAAAATGTAGCGGAGTGGGAGTATAAAGTAGCATAAAATGGAAATACTCAAGTAAAGTACCTCAAAGTGTACTCACAGACAGACTACTAATAATCAATTCAATTCAGTTATATATTATATATATATATTGTTTAGCGCCAATTCATAACAGAAGTTATCACAGGACACTTCTCAAATAGAGCAGGTCTAGACCGAACTCCTTATAACATTATTTACAGAGACCCAACAGTACCACCATGAGCAAGACCTTGGTGATGGCAGCAAGGAGAAACTTTCTTTTAAGAGGCAGAAACCTCGGACAGACCCCGGCTGTAGGTGGGTGGTCGTCTGTCTCGACCAGTTGGGCTTAGAGAGAGAGAGAGGGGGGAGAGAGAGAGGTGGGTGGTAAAGGAAGAAAGACAGAAACAAAGGTGCACAGCCAATCTATCTGTATCAGCCCTGACTACCAATGATTTCACAGTGGAGGAAGTTGAACTACAGCTAAACTGATCTAGAGAAGTCTAGTTTGGTTAACTAAAGCTACTGAGAGAACAGTCCAGATGGTGGTGACAAAAAGCTTAAGCTTTTTGTGTTTTTAGTTTGTCTGTTTTTAAACAAAAGAATATCAAGCAAAGCAAAATGATAATTCATAGTGGCTGTATAACACATTTAAGGGAAATGGTTTTGGATGGAAGATAAAATCAGAAGAATATGACATTAAAGAGCCTAGTTTTAATTCCCCAATAATGAGTGCTCCCCCATGGCTTTTTCCCAGGGCTAAAGATGATTTTAGTATCATGGAGCTAAAGAAAGGTTGGGTGGAAAGTGAAATAGGATGGCTCAAAAGATCCAAATGATCATATAGGAACAGGAGTATATATATCCCACGATTCCACATTCAGTTTGGGAATAAATGATGGATTTATACAGCTGAGATGTTGGCAGGGATTGTTGGTCTGGGAGAGTGGAAGAGATGAGACCAGACAGGGTGGTGCTGTGTATTGACTCTGCAGCAGGACTTTTTAATGGATTGTTTAATAGAATATAGTATTTTTCTATCATATAATTATATATTATATTTAATTTTATTACTCTAGACTAATGTAAACTAGATCCTGTCCTACATACTCTGTGCTGTAGGTGGCGGTATGCACATAAAAGATGATTGCAATTTGCCAAAATGTATATAAATTAGAAACGGAAAAGATAAGTTGTAGGCAAATAAAGATGAATGGAGAGTTCTTCAACTGAAAATGAGGAGAAAATAAAACTTATTCTTATATTGTTATAATATTGTGATGAGAGGACTTTTAATATGAAGAACACAGGTCTACTGTTTCGATCTTCACAGAAAGAAAAATTAGTGCTTCTTCAGGCCTTCAGAATAAAAGTGGGCAATTCAATTTTTTACAAATAGTTGAAATCATGCAGTTACAAGGCAGGGGAGAACAGTCTGAATATCTAATTGCCATACCCACTAAATAATCCAGAAAATAATAAAAGCTTTATGCTATACTTCCCTTGTTATCTACTGTGGCTGCAAGCAGCAGTCAGAGGTGTCTAGTGGAGGGAGCTAGCAGAAGGGTGTAGTTACATTGTGAATGAACAGCCTTTATGCGCCATTATACACCTCCTGACCTGAGCCTGACATAACATTAATAAATAATCTGTGGTGGTTAAGGAAAAAAAGAGCGCATGCCATTAAAGTCAGTCATCTACTGTACAACATTTTGAGGTTAAAATAATGCACAAGTAGTGACACTTTGAAGATAAAGAACAAGGGTGACTATGACATAACTGTACAATGTACATTTTTAACGCTCTTATTCTGAAGAGCATGGCCCGGAAGCACTGTTTGCTTTGCAATGAAATGAAACTGCAACTGAACAGTGGGGATCTTTAAAGCTGGCGGATGTTTCATCAAGGTATGAGCAGCAACATATGGCCTTTCTGATCAAAGTATGACTGCTATTGTTTGGGACGACTGTTTGACATCATGTAGTTCGTCGGTGACGATAACATTTGTTATTATGGAACCAGCAACCTCAATTTTCCGTGTCGTTGCTAACTTTAGGTGGCTAGTTGGCATCGCCGGACTAATCCTCTAACGTAAATCGGTAGAGCTCGTAGGCTCGTGTGCTTTGATTGTAGCGCGTGTCGTTTCTGCGCATCGCACGCGACATAGCTGTTCACGAGCTCTTTCGTCAAACATATAACAGACGAAGATGACGAGGCACATCAGGCGCCCTATCTTTAGTGTTGCTTTATGGACTAAATGCATTGACATTAAGCAAAATGGTGTCTGTTCAAAAGCAATGGAGGTAAAGAAAGAAAGGGCTGGCTTCAGCTGCATTATTTTCTATATAGAAACATTAACGTAGGAGTTGAGCTTTAGTGTCATGGGTAGGACTGCCTAAATGAGACACTCTTCCGTTAGGAGTTTACCGACTGATGTGTTTCATAAGCTTTCTCACAACGGACAATGTTTTGTTAGAAATACACCCTTTTCACAGCAGACATTTTGACATAAAATTGTAGGGGAAACGCGTGACAAATGGTAAGTATTAAGGCTCACTTCCGTTTAATGTAGCAGAGCCTTTCCGGTTAATCGAATCTTAGTATCATTGGTAACACATGTGTTTACCCTAGTTACCCCTAGTAGTACACTAGTTCGTGTCAAAATGGCTGCTGTGGAAAAAGCTCTATAGGGAAATAATAGCTATCTCACAGTTAAAGGCCCAGTGTGTAACATTTAGGAGGGCTATTGTCACAATATAATATATGTATGTTTTCAGAAAGTGTATAATCGCCTGAAAATAAGAACCATTGTGCTTTTGTTTCCTTAGAATGAGCTGTTTTTAGCTACTGAGGGAGCAGGTCGTCTTCCCCAAAGGCCGCCATGTTGAACCGCCATGTTTCCACAGTAGCCCAGAATGGACAAACCAAACACTGGCGGTAGATAGGGTCCTTCCCTTTGTGCCCCCATCGTAGTCTCTCCGATACACTGAGCTGTGTTCAGTTGGTTGCAGTCTGCAACTTTACTGCTAGGTGCCACTGAACCCCTCACACTGGTCCTTCAGTCTGCTCAGGTGTGTCCAACCACCCAGCACTACTCTGTAGCAGCTGGCTTCAGTTACAAAGGAACCACTCAGTGCCTGTTATCAGCTTAAGATCACAGTACTATCTTCTTCTATTTTTTAACAATTACACAAATGAAAAAGACAAAACAGTCAAAATAATAAAATGAAAAGTAAAGAATAATCATAACTTGTAAACTAATAATTGCAACAACTGTTGTGTTTAGCCAGCTAATGTAGTATATGAGTATAAGTAATTATGGTTCCCATCTCCAAATTTAATTTCAGAACACCTGTACTGAGCATGGAGCAAATAATGGGAACTGTTGAGGTTACTAGGCGTTAT